AGTTACGTTTTGTTTTCTCTGCTGAAATCCACCGGCCCGCTGCCGGGTCGGTGAGAGGTTCCAAAACAGTCGCCGACACCGCCGACGGCGCCGCTGTCTCGTCCGACCCACCTCTGACGTCACAGCCGTCGTGTTCAGTCTCTACGTCTTGATTTGTACCCGAATTCCACCTCGGCTCCAACTGAGGTGTCTAGCCGCCGCGGAGTTGGCATCGGGCGCCGGGCGCCGGGCGCCGGTCGGTCGGTTGTTTTCTGGCGGCCCGCTCCGCCCCTGTGACCGGCGGTCACGTGACAGTCACGTGACTGTGTGACACGGGCGCTGCCCGGGGCGCTGTTCATGGTCGGCTGACCGGCTGACAGTTGCAAACGTCGCCAGTAATTGATGTGGCATTCCGCGAGCGCGCCACTGCCTAACCAGGCTCGAAATGCTGGACGTGTTTGTTGGAATTTCGCCGTGTGGTGGCGGTTTGCAGCTGGAGTTTAGGGAAGCGGTCCACCGAACTGGCTCGCTTAGGTCGCAGAGAACTCTAAGACCACGCCTCGAATGTGGCTCGTCCCAGCTGCCGTAAATGCACTTGTTTTCAGTTCAGAGGCTGTTGTTAGCAGTTTCAAACCGTTCAGGAAGTTCGGTCGTTTTCGGATGCAACTTAAAAAGCACGGCTCCATCTCTTGAGAAAACATTTGCAACACGCTCATGAAAATTCTTATCGGTAGCTCTTAACTCATTAGCTGCTGTTTTCAAAGTGGAAACTCGAGCACTCACCAGTCGGCCGACAGAGAGGGCTTCGGTGAATCCATTTTGTCGGCCGCGGTCGGGTAGACTGTCTGTCGCTCTGGCAGACCTCTGGAACACCTCGGCACGTCCCGTGTGTGGGCCGAGCCGTCCCTGAGTGGCGCGCTGAACCACCCCAGTCCCGGGAAGTTACCTGATCCGTCGGGAGTCGCGCATGAGAGTCGCCTCGCTCGGCAACTCTTCAGCCAGTCGGTGCCCGAGCCGAGTCTGAAGTTTGACGGCAAATGCCGCTCTCTGTCGATCACGATGTCTGAAAGCAAATTGCGCGATAGACACGGTCTGGATTTATTCATCGGTGATGGCTGAGCTTGGTTGATTGTATTGACCATCAACCCTACATAGTATCGTGACCTGGTCCGTCTAGTTTTAATTAATCAACAATCAGCTATTTACTTTGCTGTATGGTGGCTCTAGGCCACCCCACATTACATACAAATTACTGCAATAGCAACATCATTACGATGCAATAGATCTATATGAATAGCAGTGCCAGGTGTCTCACTCTATAATTTGATGGTATTAGCTTATTGGTAGTTTGTCACCAGCAACAATGTGTATTCGTCATTTAGCTTCCTTAAAAAAGAGCATCCCAGTCATAATACCCCGCAGCAATGTAACATAATATCCCGCAGCGCGTGGTTTCGCATTCCTTGCACACGCGTAAATTTATACGTATGTATAAGCAAAAATGTTTTTGTGCTTATAATGTTGCACGGAATTACAAACGTTGCTTGTCGTGATTACATCACGGCCAATTTAAGCTAACTTGTCATGTTTACTCATTATTGCCTCCAAATAAACTAAATATAAAATAAACGTTCATATCTTCATGACACTGCCATGGCAGATGGACGGATTACCACAACCTTTCAGGCTTTGATTTGATCCTTTGATCTGATCAATCACTAAGTTGCCGTACCTGGAAGTCACAGGCATCATGTATGCCCATCGCGGTGAAATCTACTCTGAAAACTGTAAGACTTGATCTACTGATGTGGAAAGAGGCCCCGCGGCGGCGCGGTAGCTTTTAGCCGGTGCATTGGCAGGTCTGGTTAATATTCGCTGCGCCCCGTGGGTCGTGTCACGGTCTGCACTTGCTCCTGAACCTCAGTATTCAGCCAGAGGCGGCCTATAATGCCGCTCCGTTCTCACAAGGAATACAGTCGGAGCCGGGCGAGGTAGGACAAAGGTCAGCGCTAAGTATTGACTCTATTCAGTGGACTGATAGGACTGCAGTATGGGAGGGCGTGGCAGACGATAGAATAGGTAATTTAAGTGGGAAAAGAGTTGGTGGGCAGGGAAGAGTAGAAAGAGCGGAAAGTGAGAGAGGTCAAGGGAGAGAGAGAGAGAGAGAGAGAGAGGGGGGGAGATAAACCATTCTGGACCGATGCCTTATTGAAATAAATCCTGCATATCACTTCTTAGTTCTTTTGTCTATTTTATCAATTAACGTTGACCAGCCAATAACACAAAACGGGTATGCGTGCCACCGTTCAACGTAGCACGCATACTCGCTACGTTTATAGACCGATTCGTTCAACGTAGATATTGCACGCATCTGCTGCTCCTCTAGTTTTTTTGGGGGGCGGGGGGGGGAAGGGTCAAGCAATAGATTAGCGTTTACGGCTCGAATTACAATGGAACACGCCGCACTTAATGCTACTGCTCTTGACATTTCGCTGTCAATCAGGCTTCATGAGTGCTCAATGCGCATCACCTTACCGGAAATTACGGATCCTCCGTAAGAGTTAGCTGCATATTCAATTGATTTTGTATGCTGTAATTCCCTAGTGCACTGGATGATCTAACGCCCGGTTGTCCTTGCCCTACAATGTGCCACGGCGGGGCCTCTCAAATCCGGGAGTTTACCCCCCCCCCCCCTCAGCACTGGGTGGGCCCATCCATTGGTGAAAACAGCAGCATTATCCCGGCTTACACTGGGCTTACCCATCCAGCGCGCTGCGTCGATCGGCCGAGCCGGCTAAACCCGGCTGGCTCTCCCTCACCCCCTGTGCTGAGACCTCGTTCCCACACCTCTGCAGGCAAGCCGCACCCCTCTCGTGCGCAGCGCGTCGCCCCACTGTCGGGTGAGGCTGAACCGTCGCGGCACGGCGTTTGACAAAAGCCTGTCGTTGTGAGCGCGACATGACACGTTCACGGCTCATCGCCTCAGACGCAGTGTGGCCACAGCTCGGTGGCTATTCTAGGAGCGCCGCAGGACCTACAGTTCTGCGCCAATGTAAACTAAACGCCGCTGTTCGCGCTGCAAATGCCGCACCCGCCGCCGCCGTCGCCGCCGTCTGGCTTGTCGTTACTGACGGCGGCCGCCCGTCGAATCGAACAACAGCGCCGGGTTAGGTCCGAGGAGGTCGTATTCGACTGAGTGGTGGGCGCCGGATCGGCCGCAGCCGCGCCGCAGACGTCTTAGATGGGGTCTGTGTGAACGCCGAGCAGAGTAGCAATGAGGTGGCCGGGACGAGAGCGGCCGATTGAGGAGTGCGATGAAAGTGGACTGTGGTGTTGATATCGCCGTATAAACGCTGGCACTTCGAATATACACGTGCTGTGACAGATAGTTATGGCATTTATGTCGAAAGCTGAAACTGAGGGTCTCGCTGGGATGCAAGGAACTGATAAATTCTAACAGACAAGTGATGGTTTGAAGAAAGGAAATTGAAGAAAATTTGAGGACAGTTACAGACAATCGGTCAAAGGTTTTCATTCATACATGTTCCATATATGCAAACGTAATGACAATCTTTATTTATGATGTTTTCATTGATTGGTTGTCTTTTCAACCTCACAATTATGCACGCAAGCATTGTTTTCAATGTAAATATCACTAGGCCAATATAGAAGCAAGTAACTTCATGTTTGTTGTGACGAAGTGGAAACACCCATCGATAAATTACTCACAGCACAGATATATGTGCTAGCTGTAACCCTTTCCCAATGACAAGCTGAGTAGCACTGTTACTAGCAAAACATACGATTAGGCAAGCTTACAAGCTTTAGTGCCTGTGGTTGTCAAATGACAAATTTATAGCGCGTAACTTCGAAATGAAAACAGCTAGCGCAACAACGTGCAAAGCACAGAAGATTTATATGTAATCCTTGATCAGATGTGACGCGTCTCTCAAACCGCTGACTGTTAAAGGGATATTTTGCATTTTGTTCCTTTCTTCGTGATTGCCTATTCACATGCTGTTCACACTAACACCTCTTAACACCTATAATCCCAACCTTTATTCTTTTTCTACTTTTCGAAAAACTCTTAAATAAAACTAAAAGAAACGCTTTTATCTTACAGCGATTATCTTCCAGTGCTTTTCTTAAATTCACCTAAAAGTACTGCCTGCATAGTCAACTGAAAGATCAATAGGAGCCGCCATTGCAAAACTGCCATTGATGCAAACTTATATTACATGCAATATTCCGTGGAAAAAGATGAAGGGTCTTGGTCCAGCTCAGATTACTGATGTTCCGTGCTGACGTAGGTGTCCGTGAATGTTGCTGTAAATAAACGTTCATCGCTCCCCCATGTCGCATCGTGCCACTTGGATCTGTTTTGATGATCGGTTAACAGGTCATCGTGAGATATTTGGTGCAAAACGATTAATCGACTTTCGTCAAGGAGGCAGACTATCGTCTGATGGGTCGCCAATCACCCATGCCTATATTTCGGCAACCTTTTGTTTACTTTGTTTTATTTTTGGAATGATGATACCGATGTGGTAGTTGGTTATTTTTATGCATTTCTGACTAAACTACCGTCGGGTGCATTTTTCTCGCTTTCCAAAAATTGAATCGATCTTTATCTTGACAAATTTGTTCCCATAGAACCGATATGCTAAGTGATTGGAGGAAACCCCATTTTTATATCGCTTGCCAGTCTCCCTCCCTCTCTCTCTCTCTCTCTCTCTCTCTCTCTCTCTCTCTCTCTCTCTCTCTCTCTCTCCCTCTCTCCCTCACTCCTTCCGTCCCCCCTGCGGTTTTCTTATGCATACGTGCGGTTGTGCGGTTCACAGGTGTTATGTCAGAGGTGGGACGGTATACCCTGGGGTCATTGGGGAGTTATTGTCGCTCACCCTGCCCCTCCACGACATGGATGCGACTGTGTAGCGCCATGACAAGCAAGAGGCCGGCCCTCGACCGCGGGTGAACACGGTACGATCTGTTTATGACCGCGCTCCGTTCTTCTCCTGCAGTCGTCGCCGATCGGGCTGCTGTGACGTTATCCGTGGAAGTTTCTCACGCGAGCTTCGCACGCCACAATGGATCTCTACAACAACTCGGTGAGTGCTCCCGAGGAATGCTTGGCTTCGGATTAGTGCATGAATTAACGACACTGCTGACATTGAGATGATATTTTTGGAAGATGCTGTTCAAACCAATGGTTGGTCTGTTGAACACTTGAAATGTTGTCATACCGAAATATCTAAAACAATTGTAAAGCGCTGTAAAGCAAGACTGGAATAGCAGTCGATACCTAACTACATGCTACGAGCGTAGAATCAACTTTTAAACCTATTGCCTCAAATGTTTTTAACAGTTGAGTTCTTAATTTCAAAGGAAACACTAACCAGAGCTTAGTCTCTTAGCACATAGCCATTTCATGTAGTTGCGTCGACGTGTGGCTACCCAAAGACAATAGCCAGATAAAGGCATGCATGACACGTAGGACATTTTTATAAAACTGCAATATACCGGGAGTTCCTAAATAAACAGTCGTATTTAAAAGCTGTATATTATCAGCATGGAAGGCATGACAAAAACGAATCACTTTCTAACATACACAATAGTCGATGCCATTTCACGTGATACCATCTTCTTTTTGCTGTCTTTTCATTTGCGGCCACAGAGGACGTGTTCCAGATGAGCCCCCTCTCGCTCCACACACAGCTCTGCGCGTCGCCGAGCGGACTCCACCGCAGCCTGGCAGATCTCCGGCCGCACTCGGCGCACCGCGGACGACACGGCCCACTTGAGGTCATCTGTGGTTCTGGGGTTGCTTTTGTAGACCTGTGACTTCAGGTGACCCCAGAGAAAGAAGTCAAGTGGGGTCAGATCCGGAGAGTGCGGGGGCCAGATCCGCACCTCTCTGCGGGAGATAACCCGCGAACCGAATCGGTTCCGCAGCCATTCTCGAGTCGCAACGGCCGTGTGCGCCGAGGCTCCGTCTTGTTGGAACCATTGTTGGTCCATCAGCTGCCTGTCTCCACCCAGCCGCCTGTTCAGCGCAGTCCAGAACTTGGCTAGGACTTGCCGGTAGCGCTGAGCGTTGACGGTGACAGACTCCCCAGCGTCGTTCTGAAACCAGAAAGGTCCGATTATGCCACTGCTGCTCATTGCACACCAGGCTGTGCACTTCACACTGTGCAGAGGGGCTTCCGCGACCAAATCGGGTGGCTCCGTCGACCAGAATCGAAAATTCTGGGAGTTCACGCGGCCATCCATATGAAAATGGGCCTCGTCGCTGAACCAGATTCGGTGAAGGAACTCATTGTCCTGCTCGCAATTTCTCAAAAACCAGCCGCTGTAAAGAAGCCGTGACTGTTTGTCGACTTTCGACAGTGCTTGGTGAACGGAGATCTTATACGGGAACAGCTGAACGTCGTTTCTGGCCAAACGGTGAGCGGTGGTTTTGCTACAGCCCAGTTCCTGGCCCAGCCGTCTGAGCGACTTTTGTGGGCTCTTCTGGAGGACTTCTCGTGCCTTTTGGGCGTTTAGAGGCGTCCTCTTGGTTCTTTTTCGGCCACATTTACCCTTTTTTACGTTCTCCACACTACCTCTTGCCAAAAACTTCTCAACTATACTTAAAATGACGGTTCTTGATGGCACTTGGGTCCTTTTTAAGTGTCGGCGTAGCTTACGTTGTGTTGCAACGATTGACTTTGTCTCAAAATAGAAATGTACTATTTTTGTTTTTATGTCAGTACTATACGGCTGCATGATAGAAAGTGATTGATTTTGGTATGAAATAAAATGGCATTGCACGTGCTATCATCACGTGCAATTTGATTGTTGTGATTTTGTTAGTTGACGCCACTAGAGGCAAAAATAATTCGACTGTTTATTTAGGAACTCCCGGTACCATATTGTCCTCCATGAGGGTTTCGATGTGGCTTCTTGGCTTTCGACCAGAGAAAGCATCAATTTGACGGAAAGGTCGGCCACTGCAGGCGCCGACTAGTATCACCTCTTCTTCATTCGGTGGAAGATCCTTCACCGAAAGTAAAAAGGTCAAAGACTGGGTGCAGCTGTTTCTAGCAGTCTTGGAATCGAATAATGTTTTGACCGAGCTCTAATTGGGTGCCTTTGTCATTTGATTGTTGATCTGTTGTACAGCTGCCCCTGCTAAATTGTCATCTATGTTTAGAGTGCTACAAAGCCAGAGTTTATTTGTTGGCGACGAAAATGCAATGCGTAGATGGCAATATCGTGGGATGTGGGTTGCAGGTTTTTCATGTGCTTTGAATTGAAAAAGCTTGGGGTGATTTGACAAAAATGACGTTAAGTGGGCAGGACTTTGTTTTCCATTCGTATTCTCAGTTTAGCCAACGACGCTTTGTCTTTTTACCCCTATCTTGTTCACTGTATACTATTATGTATAATATAGGTACCTTAACCATCGCCCGCACATGGGGGGGGGGGGGTGGTTGCCACCCCTCCAGGTAGTCTTTCTGCTCTGCACTCAACATTTTTAGAGCTAGGAGGCTGATTTTTCGTATAGCTGCTTCTCTATCCTTTCTTGATGTCCACTGAAAATTCCAAGTTTCTGTGGTTTTTGGTTTCGGAGATATGACCTTGTTTTTCAGGTCATGTCATGACCCAAATGGCCAATTCTCAACATCTTGCGTTGGCTATGGGCCTTGTGAGCTTTTGACACCTTGATTTCGGCCTTTTTTGCCAGTCTTACCTCCCACCTATCATGGAACATGTTGTTCGACGATGTAGAGATGTCAAGGTCAAGGTCAAGGTCAAGGTCAACCTAGGTCATCTAAGGTAATTGCGTTTTAGGCAAGTGGAATTTACTTTTTGTGAAGTTTTTTTGACTGAATTTTTGGTAAAAGCTTCTCAGATCATGATTTCATGTCATATGGACACATAAACAATCGGTGCACACATCAGTATACACACAGACACAAACAGACATACAAACACATATAATTGACCTTGACCTAACTTGACCTGAAATGACCTCAGCGGCAAAAACCTGTTCGGGTAGTGTGACAAAGAGGTTCTAGCTGGCTTGGCACCAGAAAACGGCATCGTCATCGGTATATGATAAGCAGCGCACTTGATATCCAACGGTGACCCAAAACAGCAACATTTTTTTGTTTGACCTGACCTGGAAGTTCAATGACTGACCTGAGAAGGTAAAATTGGGTATCATTGGATATGTCTCTTCCCAAAGAATCTTTTTGGTCTTTACCGCTAAGCTCTATCTCCAACAGGAACGAAATGGCGCGGGGGGGGGGGGTGGCAACCCCCTCATGTGCGTTCTAGGATGGGAAAATGGCATGTGCGGGCGAGGGTTAACATCCCAAACCTCTTTAAGTGCTGAGAATTGCGGAAAACGTACTCTTCTATTATGGAATAAAAACGCGACCAGCGCATGCCTTCGCTAAGCCTTTGCGCGCCATTCCTGCAAGAAGTAATTTCACGCGAGTGGACACCAAACCCCTCGGCTGGCCATCTGAGATCAGGGCGGCGGCTCTCTGCGCTGCACTGGGTAATGTCTGAGGTTATGTCGCGTCTATTTAACGTCGACCTGCATCTGTCGCTGCACGGCCGGCCGGGCGGTAACTCGAACGGTGGACTCCGATCCCCATCAGTCGGCTAGACCATGCGGATCAAGGCTGATACGCCGCCGGCCCGCTCCCACGACACTGTCCATCACCGACAATCGCCCATAGCGACCACCAAATTGCCGGCCAGTTGCAGTTAGTGAGCTGTTAAAGCGGAGCGGCAGACCGGACAATCGGGCAGTGATCTGACTCCCGCGCCGCGGCGCCGCGTCCCTCTGACCGGCCACCGCGCCGGCGAGGGTGACCGGTCAGCCGGTGATAAATATTCACTGGCTAGCGACTGTCCGCCAGCGATGCCACTGATCTGGCATCGTGTGTCTCTTGGCTGACGAGCGACGCAAGCGACTGGAAAATTAACTAGTCACGTGAACGTGAACGTGAATGATCCATTGGCCCCAGAAAGAACAACACATGAGGCAGACAGCCGTGACTGTTTTTTTTTCTTTGAGTGGTTGCTGGTAGCTGAATATGTCATTTTCTACTCATTTTCAATCTCCTTTTTGTTCATCTTTTGGGACTGGAGCTACGAAGCATAACACATGCCGTTTACCGTGAAGTGTTTTTGATGTAACTTATCCTCGTTGCCACATTTACCACTCTTTTAGTTCCCATTCATTCTACATTCATCAATTGCCATGCTGTTGATTTTTCTCACTCCCTCACTCTCTTGTTTTTTTTTTTTGCCTGTGTAATGATAAGGTATCTATCCGTCTATGTCTGCCGCCTTCGTTTTTCATCCGTTGCAAATGCGATGCTGTATTTGTTTCTTACGGGTGATCAGGTGAAGAACACTCGAAGCTTAATGCTCGGTTCGGTCTAGCAGCCTTTCTACATCACTTTTACGCACTCGGTTTCGCTGTGTGCTCTCAGCCTTGCAGTGCGTAAAATGTGCGAGGCGCCGATGGCGTCCGTGCCTCCGTGGGTTATAGTTCTGCTATAGCTGCGTGGTGCGAAACCAAATCCAAACTGCTCATAAAATGATCATTGGGCACGTCAGGGTAGGCTAGGTGCGGCAAAGCATCATTATCATTTTACGGTCCCCTAACATTTATGGCACGTTCATGCTATGCATTCCACGTGATGTATGCAACATTATTAAGACATGACTCCACAGAGCGGCACTTACGCTCTAGTAAAGACATAACAATTCAATTACCTGCTAGGTGAGGGATTCTGACATTTACACATCTCGGCTGCTTTATCTCGCTCACGCTGCACGGGACGAGCGTGTGTGAAAGCGCCCTTCTCGGACACGGTTTTTATGAGTCGTCGGCCATTTTTTCGACCCTAAACTGTTGGCGAGGTCGGCATCGTGACCTGGACGACCGATAAGCCTCCATCAGTGTGCCCTAAAGACCGGCCCCGGCGGCCATTTGGCAGAGGTGGCCGGCGGCTCTGGCCGCGTGGGGAGCCGCGCCTCCGTCCGCCGCCGGCGTCCATCACCGCCGACCGGCCGGCGGCACGTCACGTGTCCCGTGGCGGGG